TCCAACGATACTCGCATAGCCTGAGCTTGTAGAACTCGGCTTCCTCCTTGGCGGGTGCCGTAGCCCATAACAGCGACCCAAAGGTGCCAATGAGCGTAAAGTTGACTTTGGAAGCAAAGTACCAGAAACCCTGCAGATGTTCTGGCTTCAGACGGTTCACAAAGTCCATAGCAGAGATCAGCCGCGTCTTCGCGGCGTTGCGGCACATGAAGAGACCGTAAGAGTCGGGGTTGGTGGAGTCGAGCGACTGCACTATGCGCCTGTGCAGGGTAATCTCCGTCGCAAAGTACGCGAGATGCAGATAGCCCGTAGAGGTGAGCTTGCCCTTCTCGGGAACGTTCATCTTGACCTCTGCGGGTAGCTTCTCGTGCCATTGACGAAGCTTGATTTGTACAGGCTTGGCTCGTGCGAGTATCAACTCGGTCGACTTTCTCCCCGCATTGGCAAAGTCGTGGATCGCCGTTTGGGTGTAAAATGTGTCCATGACCTCAGCCATGATCTGCGTGAGCCCAATCATCTGGGCAAACAGTATCCGGCCTCGGTGGCTCTCTACCTGCTCCTCTTCAGATTCTTCCTGACGCGTCTCGTATCCATCTCCTTCCTCAACAAAATCGTCTTCGGTAATCGGCTTCACCGCCCAGTTGGCATTGAAGATGTGCGATGGCCGGCCGTGGATGAGTGAGCTCCACTTGTCTTGCATGTACAACGCCCATGCGATGCGCTTCCTCAAGCCACGCTCCCAGAGAGGAACTGACCATGATGAGCAGTCGAGATGCAGGCCTAGTTCTTGACCAATGGCCACCAACTGTGTTGTCAAGCTCCAAGAGTCCGCTTCAGGACGTTGCAGCAACAACAAGCCAGCCTGTATCGTCGACAGTTTAGGTCGCTCCATAGCCAGTGTGAGCGCCTTCATAGCAATCGCTTCTAGCCGCGCTGCATCAGGTCGGGAGTAGTTTGCTAGCTTGGGGTCGAGAGACCACCAGTTGAGCGCGAGGATGTACATGCCAGCTAACAAAGCTGGCGAAAAACCTCGATCGCCTCTGCGATACCGTTCGACAAACAGATGTTTCTGGATGATGGGGTAGTTTGGATGTACTACTTGGAAGTAAAGATCTAGTAAAGCAGGACCGTGTGGGTGCACAAGCTGCTCGACCTGACCCAACGCCTCAGACTCGCCGGCGAAGTCTTGTGTGTTCTCGTCAGGTAGCATAATGAAACATTCATGATCGTTCACACGTCGAAGCGTACCAAGGTCGAAGGTCGACTCGTTACGGGTGTCGAACTGTGATAGGCCAATGAGCAGCGAATCGAATGGAGAACTCAAACCGATGTATCTGCTATGTTGCCGCCGTTGCAGCCCTAATGTCTCTCCAAACTGAGGCAGGTGAAGGCTCGCTATTTGAGATAGTGAGGGTTGCGGTGGTGGTGGACTTGGCGCGGTTGCTGTGATGGTGGGTGTTGATAGTGCTAGTGGCGGAGGATCTGAGTCGACGGATCTGCCAGAGGATGTCAGCACGACATCCAGCTATACGCCGACGCCTGGCGAGGGCCACAGCTCCCGGTGCCACGACCACATGCGGGATGAAAAAGCAAGTAGGTTGCACATGCGCACGTGACCTGGTAGCGTGACGCAAGAGGCATAGCAAATGTCGGAAGTGATATATCTACGCGAGCCGTGGACGTGAAGCAGTAGCGGGGTGGCCTAAACATACCTCTTCTTGGTGTTGTTTGGCGAGTCCTTCTTCTCACCGTCGACGACTTTCCTCTTCCGCGGCAGTGGGCTTTGTACAAAGGTACACTCCTGCTTGTGGAACTCGCACAGGACACACAAAGCAGCGCCCTCGTGTATCACACAGCGGCTCTTCCTCCTTCGGCACGCGTCACAAGGGCGTTCCCTCCGTGAGCGGATGTTAGATACTGGACCGTTGTTGGACGTGGGCTTGCTCAAGCTCTCCTTGCTGGATGGTGACTTCTGTATCGTGCGAGGACGAGCTGGTGCTATAGAGACAACAGGACGTGGGCCCATAGCCGGCTGCTGCATTGCTACGGCCGTCATGGCTAGCTGGCGTGGTGGAAGGGTGCGATAAGGCTATGATAGACTACGGCCCGTTGGCTAGTTTCCGAATCAGGGTGCAAGTATCTCGCTATCGGAAGCAGGGTTCGTGACAGGTCTTATCGCGTGGGAGATAGGTAGTTCAATCGGTATATGGGAGATATCCCGGAAATGCAAATCCAGTTGGGTAATCCAATGGAGAGTCAGACGAGTCCTACTTAGGGCCCTAGGTTGCCGGTAACGGCGGCGAGGAGTATGAGGTGACTGATGGTTCGCGCCGTCATTGAAGGTCTACGAAAGAAGTAGAGGATGGGCGGAGGCGGGCGGGATGGCGGGATCAGCCTGGCCTTGGAGCTTGGAGACCTAGAACCCTGTGTGGGGAGAGAGCAGGCGCATAATCGGGGGTGGCAGTCGTATATACTGGAGTGTCGCTGGAGAGCGCGCTGCGAGAGTCTTTTGTGGCAGACATGTGCTCGGGATGGGTTTCAAGATGCAGGGTGCACGGATGTTGCTTGGAGGTAAGCTGGATGGGCTCTAGCGGCTTCCTGCATTCTATCTTACGTACAGCCGAGAGATAAGGACTTCGCGGTGGGCCAATGGCCGCGGTGCATGGCTTCCCCCACCTGAATAATGTGATCTTTCCATTACTCCAGCTCTTGCTTATCTGTGCGTCTGTACTACACAGGATCCAGTTTAACTGTCTCGAGGAATTACTCTTATGTACTCGTTACCATACTCCATAGTTTTAGTATTGGCGCATGCACGTCACCCACGGCTACGCATCATTATCGCTCGCCTAGCACTGGTAAACAGTTGACGACCGTTTGAGGGACCTTGCAGCTGACAGTTGCACCGCTGAATTTTCTTGTTCGCAGCCTCGACAGCACATGGCACGACGAGATGGATCCGACATTTTGCCACGTTCCGAGGTTTTCACGAGCCGCCTCAGCGTGAGGCAGCTCGCCCGACCATGCCAGTATCCATGGTAATGGTATGAACGGCCTCCGCACGTGTCGCGTGTTCTCCACAAGCCCTACTGCCATACTTAGCATAGGACCCCTCGATAGCGATCTCCGCTCCGCTCTGCCCCTGGTCTCGTTTCTCACCGCTCGCACTTCAGGCAAAACGCTTTCCGCTCCGACCACCGGCAGTGCGCAGGACCCGAATATCTCCGCCAATCCTAGTCAGCGAGTTGCATCTTGCCGTTGCATCTTGCCGTTGATGTCATAGCACTTTTCGCCGTTGACGCGATTCAGGGAGGCTGGGTGAAGAACCGCGGCGCCGCCAAACCTCCCAAGACCGAAGAAGGCTGGAAAATCGGATGCGATCTACGCCAGTGTACGTAAAACGCAGGCTTAGCCTCGCACTGCCAGCGACCTCAGACTTGGGTTGCGATGCTGCGGGATGACAGATGGATACCCAGCTGCACGCTCAGTACTTCCACATTCGTCCTCGCTTAAACTACCGTTTAATCTCTCAACAACGGAACGATATATCCTCCTCCGAGTACTGGAGGTCGTTGTTGAAAGGCCCGTAAAGAAAGTCAGATCCCAATATTCCCCTCATCGCCCGCTTGATGCGACTGGCCTAATTACCGGAATGAAATCCGTCCGCTCAACCGCATGTAGATTTGAAAGACCATGGGTTCGTGGTTGACATTACGAGATCTTTAAACGCAGATCCGCATGTGAGAGACTAGAGGGTGTGGATTCTGCCCAGGCTGATGACATCTCAGGGAAAGTCGGGCCGCTTTTCTCCGGTGTGTGAATCATCCACTCCGTCGTCACGACTACATATTGCGCCCTCTGAAGAGTCAGTCTAACCATTTTTCGCGCACTTCCACTGGATTTATGCGAGAGGCCTTGACTCGGTAGTCCGAAAATCTGCCTCCTAACCGTTGGAGTTCTTACGTCGTGTCTGCTTGAGCATATAAAAGGAGCCAGGTATACCTTGACAATGCACAGGTAACAAAGTGCCAACACATCGTAGACGAAGCCTAAGCCCACAACATCAATCTTTAGCCACCGCTGCAGGAATACGTGTAGGATGACGAACCCTCAATTTGTCGTGAATCTACAGTCAGCATCTCCTTGCCACCAGCTTACTCTTGAGACCAGCAATATATTGTAACCTTGGATTCGGGCTGATTGATCTTCAAGATCTACTCATAGGCTGAACTTCCTCAGATTCTAGATTGATACGGCGGTAAAACCCCGGTTCTAGATGGCCGCAATGGACACTATCTAGCACGGAGCGACAACGAGCATGTTGCTCCCGCGTCCGAAGAAAGCACCGGGGGCTATGGAGGCGTTGCCATGGTGCTTGATGTTGGCCTGTCCGCATGTGTTCGCTGTTGGGGTTGACTCAAGATTCTCTTCCCCATCATGAAAACACAAGCAAATAGGTCAAGAAAAACTTACGCAGGGACCGAGATTGACATGTGGGTATACCAGAAAGCAAGGAGTGTGTGGAACACGCTAGATTCGGTCCGTATGAGTATGCATACGTCAAGTCGCGCTCTCCGTGGCACTCTGGTGCAAAATGGTCATTTCAACAAGTATCAAATTTGGACCAGGTGAAGGAGCTATGGATCTATCATAAATCCGCATAGCAATTAACAACCATATACCTAATCCATATTCTCTTGCCCAATGTCCAGTACTCCTTGCACCTCCTGCCTCGGCCATATGTACAATTGTGGGCTTCGGGTACCCTATCATAATGGATATAGTGACGCGCTTTCGACCCGGTCGTAAACCTACAACCCCAGCGCATCGATCATACCACCGTAATCATATCGTCGTTATGTTTAACGCGCCTCGCTGAAAATGGATAAAGAAGGTATCGCGAATAGGCCGTCTCGTGTGCCGTGGTGGTGTGCGCAGCTGTTGCGCGTGTTCGGTCAATGTGGAGTAGACCTCTGGCTGCGCCGCGGTTCGATGTTAGATCAGTGCATGGGAGGCTGGTAGTTGATCGGTCGCCTGTTGGAGTGTTAGCTTGCAGCGCGCGGCGTATGCTCTGACACAACGTACTTGAAAAGCAAAATGTGAGGTTCTGGCTCATGGACCTCGTAGTGCTCCCATCCCAAACTCTGTTCCCAAGTCAGCATATATGTTGCAGCCTGTATCAAAACCACGCGTACCTGTGTGATGCCCAGTGCCCGCCATTCCTCCTCCCAGAGCAGCTTCAGTGTGCCTCGCGCGCCGTCGAAGTAGTCTTTTGGGATAGCCTTCAGCATTTGCTTAGGCAGCTGCACATGGCGGTATTCGTATGCGTCGTCCGAGTATCTGTGTTCGCGGTCAATAAAGAAAACGCGCTGACCGCCTCTTGTGTTGACAACCCACCTCGCCGAGTAATGGATCGCGTCGACAAATTCATCCAGCTTTTCCTTCTCGTGGTCCGAGAGCGGGCGCGGCTTCTTGTTTCGGCGCGTGAAGTCGATATCCAATTCGCCCGACATGGTGCGCGTAAGGTGGTGTGAGGAGCTCGTGTGCTCCGAGGTCGTCAGTGGGGTGTCGGCGGGTGGTAGAAGCGAGCGGGGCGGGCAGCTGCTTTGGGGGGAAGTCGCAGTCGTGGATGGGAGAAGGAGCGCTTAGAGGCAGGATTTCGTGTTCAGGCGCGTCGGGCGTGTGATTATCGAGCGAGAGAAAGAATAGTTCAAGTAAATGAACCCAAACAGCTCTTGTTTACCCTGTCGTGAAATTTGGTCGATTGTCCAAGCTTCTACGCTAACTCGGCTGCAGCCTAGCGTAACCGTCTTACCACGTTCTTACCGCTGGCCAACGTCTTTCACCCCTGCATCTGCATCTCCGCTGATCGACGTGCAGTCGAGTTTTGATGCAGACCACTCTAATGCGAGCTTACGTACGCTTTCTGTCTACGGTCACCGTTGTCTCTGTTCTTCTTCATCCTCAGACATCTCCGGACATCAAGACCGCCTCACTATTTCACCACAGCAACCAGCCACACCTCATTCAAGGAAAACTCTAAACCCCATGGAACCTACATCAAGATGAAAACTTGCAAAGTAGGCGACCCAATGTCAGTGTAGGCTCCAGACCCATTTAGCTCTCTCCTTATTTGAGGTCGCCACAAATCTTATCTTGTACTAATTCCATGCGAATCGTTGATGAAGCCGCATACATGCCTGGAGGACCCATGTCTTTCGCCTTGCAGTCCTTTCTTGAATCGCATACTGCCCACTACCCGAAGCTACAAACAGACGCCCCAAGAACAGGTAAATACATGTAGCGTGCGCGTACGCTTACGCTTACTCGTACTTGACAACTGCTGCTCGATGGGCGCATCATCGGTTATCAATTTCAACGGTCTCGCCGCTATCGATATCACTCCGGGCACGCTGGCAATGGTTTCTCCCTGTTACCTCTACGCACCCTATTTTCCCGCTCAAATAGCTTCTCCAGCATCTCGCGCTCCGCACAGCCTTGCAACCACGGAGTCTTCATATCCAAGTTCGGCCGCCCAAGCACACCCACGAACTGTACACTGGCTTCTTCGTTGGACCACTTCCTAATGGAGGCCCTGTGCAGTCGCTTCAACCCCACATCCCACGCTCTATCGTTGAGTTTACTGCGATATAGCACATCCTCTAAGACCGCGTCTTCTTCCTCCATCTGCTTCGTTTCCTGTCTGGCGCGTTTCAGGTACAGTGTCAAGAGGGTGATTGGGACTGCAAGACCGATGATACCAGCGAGGACAACCACGAAGATGGCGCCAATAGGACGTGTGTCTTCTGGAGTTGCATCCCTATACGTGGCAGGGTGTATGAATTGAGCCAACGACGAGGGTTGCATATATTGAGAGTGCTTTGTTGAGGTGAGGTGCGTAGTCATTGGTATGTCGACAATCAGCGAGTTCGCGTGACCACTCTCTCCAAAACCAACGTCCGCATTGAGAACCTCCGAGGCCTTGCCGTAGAAGCTTTCCGGCATCCCAGTGTACGGATGCGTGTCGACATCAATATGGTTTCCTTCGATGTTCGCCATGATACACAGTGTCAGATTCCGTCGATGTCGAGAGTGTCTGGAATCCAAGGTCTGATAGAACAAAGGTACTGTGTTTGCTTGCTGGTCTATGGAGCTCAGCGTATCATTTGTAAGATCCGAACCCGGGTAAAGGGGGGAACACAGAACTATACACCAGTCTTCGCCGTCATACAACGCCTATAATGTCACTGGCTATAGGTAGGATATGACAACAGTGCTACCAGCAGACAGGATTTACTTGTGTTCACAACAATCCTACAGTCCAGCCTGAGCTACCATGGAGTTGACAGGACGCGTACCAGCTGTCATGGCTACCCTTGCGGACATAAGTCCTACTGTGTGCTCCCGAACTAAGATGACAAGCCACGTCAGCATTCAAGCGGCTTTATACCACAGTCGTGCGATGAATACAGGCGCAGCTAGGAAGGTACTTTGGATCAGTCGCACGATAACTCCACGTGCCAACGTTCCTTCAACTATGCCAGTATCTTCCAGATGCTGACATGAGATAGTGAAAGAGCACATTACTCGAAACCTTCTTTATTACAATTACCTCTAGATGCTTCCACCAAGCCCTTGTCCACTCTCTCATTCCGTCCGATACTCCCTACACACGATCCCATCCTTATCCGTCCGTTCAATGACCCTAGATCTCTTCGGTACAGCGCCGTTATCCACCTTCCCATCCCTCCACTCCCATCTCAACTGTTTCTTCGGCCTAACCACCACCGCCTGTGTCATCTCCGACTTCTTCTCCCCCAAATCCCCATGAACCACATTGATGCCTTCGTCGGTAACTCCGCGTTCCAACCACTCGCTCGCTCTGTCATCACTCGCGCTCGTCTTGATCTCGGGTAGTAATTCGATTGATGGTGATGGCGGTACGGACGAGTAGCGTTGCTGTAAGTCTTCGTAGTGCTCCTGTTGTATTTGTTGCCGCGAAAGGCGATGCGATAGGCGGGACTCTCGACCGGATTCGAGATCGAGTAGAGCGGGCTCTTGGGCTGGTTGTTGAGTGGCCTTTCTCTTGTGTCGATTGATGAGGCGAATGACGAGGCAAACCAGCATCAGGATGAGGATCGTAGATGTCAGAACGATAAGAGCAAGGAAGAGATCCGTCAGAAAGCTTGTATCGGCCATGTTAAACGTGCCCATGGCGAAAATGTCGATTTGCACCAACGCCTGCAAAAGAACAGAATAGAGAGAGTTGCAGATGTTGTGGCGCCTGCTGCGAGAGGTATACTGCAGTACTTAAGCCTGTCAGGTGCAGCATGGGACGCAGCCACTAATTTCCGTGGTACTAGGAGAGCTCTTTATCAGGTAGTCAGACCAGTAAAAGGATTCTGTATCCATGCATGAGCTCAACTGTACGAGGGTCCGGCTAATCTAATTCGTGGTCGTGTTGTGTTGTGCAAAGTGGTACATACTATGGGTGAGAGAACTTGCACGACTCTTCATCGACTCGAGGGACAGCATAGCCTGTTTTAAGAGCGAGGCCTTGCAATGAAACGCACAAGACAACGCTCTGATCAAATCAGGAATGACAGCTCTTTGATTAATCTAACGGATATGTACAGACCTGCAGCTTAAGCCGTCTGATCCAACGCGCCCGTGTAGTCATATACAAGCCTAACCCTAACAACCTCATCACTCCCCACCTTCCTAACCACGAATTTCCTTGTCAGCTTCCTCTCACCCCCAATATCCGCGAACCCCCAAATCTGCCAGGCAGTCCATTTGTTCGCCTCGTTCTCCACAAAGCTCTCTACAACATCTCCTTCTTCTGTCTCCTTCAACCAGCCTTCCGCCACATACTTTGCATCTTCCTCACTCACACCCGCAGCTTTCCCTTCTTCGATTGCCTTGGCAAGGGCAATGTAGCGCGACCGTCCCTTGACGGTGCCGAAGAGCCGGTCGACGTGCTCGCGGTAGTGCCAGTCTAGAATGCGAGTCTCGGTGGAGCCTTTGATGCCGCCGGTGATGAGTTGGTCGATCTTGATCTCTGTCGTTGGCGTGTTGTCTTCGCCGTCTATGGTGGTTTGGTACAGGTGTTGGGTTACGGTTGCTGCGCCGAGGGCTTTGCGCGTCAGCCAGCCCATACCCTGCAGGGCGAGGACGGCGTCGAATGCATCCGAGAGGGACTTGTTCTAGGATGTGTTAGAGCGATGTTGCGATGCACGAAAGGATGAAGGTATGCAGAGAACACGAGGACTTGGAAGCTTCTTGGAACTTACCATGACCCATTTCCCCTCGAGCTTCTTGATATCCGCACTTGCTGGAGCTGCCATATTGTCTAGTATGACTGTTGGTAGAACTGTAGTTTGGTACGATGCGACTTTGTCGTGAGAAGCTTCGACAGCTATCGCGGGGCTATGGTGATTGGTAGCGGTGGGTACCGTCCTAGTTGGGGCGGCCATGTGCAGTGCATCTTATATGCCGGTCGCCCAAGCACCAAGCCTATCCAGAGACGCCGTGTGGATTAGCACCTGCCTTAGTTGACAATCGCACACTGTCACGTTCGTACCTGAGCGAACATGATGCGTGGCGTCGTGGGAAGGGATGCCGAGGTTCGTCTGCTTTGGGATAGCACCTCCGCGGGGAACCCTGGTCTTCCATCTCATTTGCGCTCGCATCAACTCTCTCCAGTCTCCGGAGTCCGCAACCACCGACGGCACACCTCCAGCTTGGGACGGGTCGCATGTGAACACTGCTCGGAAGAAGGCTTCCTGGACGCGTAACTTCCCGTCTACGGATGAATGGGGCCAGCCAGAGAAGCATGCTACTGAACGCAAAGCGCTGACACGCGATGAGGTGATTTTCAGCTGCATCTCCTCATCATCCCCATTTCCATACTTGTCCTCCTATGCGCCTTTCTTCGATCAGTCTCTACCTCCGCCTCCCTTATGGAATCGAGCTTGATGCAGCCCAAACGAGGAGCAAACAGAAGACACGACCAGGAAGCCGAAAGATGGCTTCAAAGTGACACGATGTTGCCGCCGGCAAATGGCTCGAAAACCGCCGAGTCTCTTGTAAACCTTCCATCGCGCGCATGTGCGCCAACACTTGGACTTCACTCACTGGAGAAACTTCTGCCACTCCACAAGAACTATTCTAAGAACAGTTCCCTCGCCGTACCTTATTCTCATGAGTACTCATCAGGTGCCGCACGTTTCGGTTCGTGAAATGTTCCGAAACAACGAGCATGTTTCAATGGCCGCCGCTGTGGTGAGGCTTAGCGCGCAAGCACGTCAGAACTTGCAACAACCGACGGCACAGGGGGGCGAATATCATTAGAGAGTTCGCATCTGAGGTAAGGCTGCGACACGGAACGTATGTTGCTAGGGTTGGTCGATGCCTCAGATGTCATGTCCAAACTACCCAGCCGCTCGGTAATTTTCCCCTCAGCTTCAAATCTGGTTCGCGGGTTGCTTTTGTTTACCAGGCATCTCAACACCTGCTTTGATTATCTCTCTTTCGAGCGCGCTGGAACTCGCATCTCGCTTCTTCTTCTTTTTTCATACCCGCTTCTTCGTCAGAAGGTCACTTAATTTTATTGTGGCACAGTCGCACAGAGTCTCATCAAACTTCTCGTCACTTGGTCACTCATTGGACGTACACACGGCTTCGCGCAGCACCATCATCGTATTGCCCCATTTCAGACGGTTACAAGTGCAGTGAAAGACAATTTTGCACGTTCCAATCGGACTTGCGATCTCGAATTTTCGCCAGCAAAGCGCCATACAATCGTTCTTACTTCGACGGCGGCTCAGGAAGCCCGGGTACATAACGACTTGGCCGAACGGTTCCCAACGATACTTTCTTTTTCTCAACGTCCCAAACGGTCAACTGAACAGAGGGACCGAGCACTCTTTCCCCGCCCGATTCGACGTCATATCGCGCAAAAAGCTCGCAGTCGTGCATCGCAGTGACTCCATTGCACGCGTTTGTTTGTCAACAACAACCTACTATATTCACGACACTCGCTCTCGCTGAAAACCCACGCTCGTTCATTATCCTCCCAAAGAAGTATCAATCACCCCACATTCTTTTACCCGCCACGCGAACACCACGCCAACCCATCTCAACAACATATCAATCACCCCCAAACCGCACACCTCTATACGACAATGAAGTCCATCTCCATCCTCATGGCCTTCGCCTCCACTGGCGCCTTCGCATCAGCAATCCACATACCCAACCTCCAAGACCGCGCAATCGATCCTGCAACCATGAACCCAACACTCCTCTCGGTCTTGTCAGTGCTCAAAACGGCTATGCCCACGGGCCCCAACGCCCCCATGCCAACAGGCGATCTGGAGCCGAATTGGTACCAGAAATTACCCGGAGACGTCAAGAGTCTGTTGCCGGAGCTGTATCCCGCTGCTGCGGCTGCGACGTCAGAAGCGGGCGCGGGTGTTGTGAGTCAAGCACAGAGTACGGACACGGTGGTGGTGAGTGCTTCCTCTTCTGCCTCATCATCTTTGGCTTCAACGTCCGTGTCTTCCTCCGCGATCGCATCTGCGCCTGTGTCGGCGCCCTCGTCCTCCAACGCCAGCGATTCTTCTCCCACAATGTCGACATCAACATCACAGACCACACTTACTAAGACATCGCAGTCGGCGTCAACAATTACCGACGTAGTGTCGCCTTCGTCATCTGAAATATCCTCGGAGAGCGCTTCGCCGACAGCGTCTTCTGCTACTCAAGCCAGCGCTTCAGCTACGCCATCGAATTCCCCGTCTACTGGCAACAGATTCGCGGTCAAAACGGAGACACTGGCTGCAATCGCTATGTTCAGTGTTGGAGCCGGATTTTGCATCTTCGCATAGCCTGTTACGACTACGCTAATGGACGTTGATGAGATCACGCTGCGATCGGTCCGCATTCTTTCTTCATCTTTTCACGGGTATTTCTCGGAGTTGTATGTGTAGGAAAAAAGCGGAGTATTTTTTGGATGTTGGGTGAACTAGGCCCGACCGAATGACGAGAACGATGGCTTCCATGCGCTGAGCGCTATACGACGAGCTTTGAGCGGGAGTACAACGTGTGCTTTCGCATGTTTATTCTTTGTATATCCTTTTTGAGATATCCCCACGCGATACGATACGAATGTAATGTAGCTTTCTATTTGATCATGTAAATGAAGACGCTACTATGAGTGCTACTGTTCCATCAAATACGTCTCTTCATGTTCCGCACGCAGTATGCTGTACGAAGACACAAACCCCATGACAGCGCCGCTACTCCCTCAGAGACAAAGCACCCCCGCAACTCTAACCCCCAAATCCAGCACAGCAAGATGTTCATCCCCACCATCCACAAGCCTCTTATCCGTCTCACTAAACACACCCGCCAGCCTGACCTTCTTCACATCCTCGACCCTCTCATCATACATGATCTGTTCGTACAACTGACCCACAGTCTGCGACGCGCTCCACCCCTCTGCAATCATATTCTCCACCACCTTGGCAATCTCGTTGTAGCGTATCGACTTGGTAGCCGAAGACTTGGGGAAGAGCGAATCGCTGAAGGAAGATAGTGTAGCTGGTGGTAGCACACCCGCGATCTCGGCGATGATGGGGAGGGAAACAGCGGGTGTCTGAGCTGGCGCCGCCGTAGAATCGACATCCATCTCGTCGTCCTCAGCAACAACCTTCTTCTTCTTTTTGCCTCCCGCACCCTGAGCCTGGACGACAGCGCCGACAAGCCTAGCCGCGGATTGCAAGAACGTGATCGCCTTTCTCAGATCGCCATCTGCGACCCTGACCAACTCCTCTGCAACCCCTTCTTCCAACTGCACATTCTCCAACCTCGCAATATCACCCACACGCTTAACCGCATTTCCCTGATCCAGGCTCTTGAAGCGGAACTTCGAACACCTCGACGCAAGCGGATCGATAATCCTCGTGACGTAATTACACACGAGACAGAATCTCGTCATGCGACTGTACGTCTCCATCGTCCTACGCAGCGCACTCTGCGCATCCTGCGTCATACTGTCCGCCTCGTCCAGCACAATGATTTTGAACGGCGGACACGGGTATTTATCCCTGTACCTCACTTGTTTTGTCTCGCCGCTGCTCGCGTCTTCCGTCATAACGTTGTAGGTGGGCGCTACGCTGAGTTGCTGGCGCGCAAAGTCCTTGACTTTCTGGCGTACGATGCTAATACCACGTTCGTCTGAGGCGTTCAGTTCGAGGACGCGCGACTTCATGAGTTCGGGGCCGTAGAGTTCTTTGGCGAGGGCGAGGATCGTGGAGGTTTTTCCCGTGCCTGGGGGGCCGTAGAAGAGCATGTGGGGGAGGTTGGAGGATTGCATGGTGCGGGACAGGATTTGGATTGTGTTGTCTTGGGCTGTTACTTCGGAGAGGGTTTTGGGGCGGCTGTGATGCTATTAGTGAGGGTGCTAAATGTTGTGTCTAGGTGTTGCGTTCGTACTATTTCTCAACCCATGGCTGCATGCGATTGGGCTCCTGCTTCGTCGTAGGCGCTTTTGATGAGCTAGCCTTTGCAGCGGCTTGTTGCCTCGCTTTTACGTTGAAGAAATCGGCCATTGTGGTGGTTGTGTGGAGATTGAGGTGTCGAGGTTGGGATGTTGAGCTGGACTGCTAAAGTGCGACGCGTCGACGCGAGACCGCGAACTCACGTTTCTGCACAGACCACGTCTTCTTTCTCTAATCATATCATCATCGCTGCATACAGTACAGTTCGCCATCTTTCAATCACGCTCACAAGATTCATAGGCCGTATAGAAATTTCCACAACACACGTCTATATTAACAAATCAGATAAGTTGAGCGATTCACATAGAGCAAGCGATAACTTCGGAAATGTCTCACGGCAGAAGATGTCCAAAACACAGTTCAACGGATATATTGCACATCCTGATTTCTTCTCGAGCGATCACCAGATATTAGGAATCTGCGAAGACGCCAGACAATGCATGCACTTCCGCTCATACCAAGCTCCTCAACTCCACCAGTATGCCCACCACTTCCAGGCTTCATGAGCCTTTCCATTGTCGCTCGGGTTACAGACCTATGGTGTCAGAGGTCGCGCCCCAGGAGTGTGACTAGCCTAGACTAATCTACTTCCCAAGCTTAACCCCCTTTACCCTCTTAGCCAACTGTACTGAATCGGAATCTGAGCCATAGGAGGACTGTCGCATCGTACCGCGGGTGTGGTCTAAGGCTGCAGCCCCCCTACTGGCCGACTTGGATTGGGGCGAAGATTGATAGGAACGTTTCGGGGGGCGCTCACCACTTTCTTTGAGAATGGTCAGAAGGGTTGCCCAGCCTCCGGTATGTTGGAGCGCTGAGCCTTCTGAGGTGTCGTGCGTTGATGCTACCTTGAAGAGCAGTGACTCTTCGTCCTAGTCGTACAGTTAGCAAAACATCCATGCAGTTTTGCAGTGACGCACCTTTGACAGAATGCCGAGGTTATGGATAAAGCAAAGCATGTGGAAATTCGAAATGGCATTGAGGCCGCTGGTTGTGTTGAGCGCCAGCCCGTTCGCTCTGGCGTTGAGAGCTTTGCCAAGATGTGAAATCTCTGGCATCTCGCCCATAGCCTCGCGGTTCTCAATCGGGAACTTGCCACCAGTGAAGAGAGGATTTGGCTGAGTAGGGAATCCATGTGTTAGTGTGAGAAGCAGATATTCCACGGGGAAGTCGGGTTTGGCAATCTCTTGTACGTTCGCACCGTGTTCGTTGATTCTTCTGTAAAAAACTTCGGGGATGTACCGCGCGCGGTTCAAGGCTTCGTTGTCTTCTTCCGATTGAACAAGCATCACTGATGGCTCGGCTGAGGGCTCGATGATGTCGGCGCGAACCATCTCAACGGCATCGTTCGAAACCTGGTATGATGAGATGCCAATCTGACCTTGGTCATCGCCGCTGATTACGCATGTTACGAAATTGGATCCGTGTCGGCCGGTGTCGCTCCATTTGGAAGGCCGGGGGTACCTTGCTTGGTATCGTGCTGCGAAGCAGATTTCTAGGGACGAAAGGTAGTACGAGTCCATGTGTCGCTTGCAGATGACAGAGCCGTCGCCCTTGTCCGCGTCGAGGAGATCAGTAAAGATCACTCCGACACGTTGCAGCCCACACTGTGCGGCAATCTCGTCAATCTCCTTCTCATTGTCCCATTCGCCTAGCGAGATGCCGTCCGCCTCGTTGACTTGCGGTGGCTCGTAGATGGTCTCGACAACAGCCTTTGTTCCCAGCGGCACCTCAGTATACTCCTCGTACCTCCCGTACAAGAAGCCCAGTCGCTGACAGCCCGTCTGTCTCCAGAAGTTGATCACATCGTCTACCACCTGTATCGAGGCGAACTCGACGTGATCTACCATGCGGTACTCTTGTGGCTTCAGCGAGATGGCGCTAGGCATGCACTTGGTGCAGATACCCTCTGGGAACGGCTTGTGTCCCGATGGACAGTCGGGGCGTACGCGGTAGTAGGGTTCGGTCAGCGGTGGCATGTACGAGCTACCGAGCTCTGGCCTGTTCTTCGCCGAGTTGACTTTGCGGAGGTATGAATGGAAGGAGAGGTGCTTGATCTTCTTCTCGGCGAGGTATGCGGGCGAGTAGGGTTCGAGGGGCATACAGTAGTCGCACATGCCCTTGGGCCCGTGGGAACACATGCGGGCGTCGCGTTTCCTGGGGATTTTGCCATCCTGTCTATCTAGCCTGTCGTCGAGCGGGGACTGCCTGACAACCTCCCATGGGTTCTTTATGGTTTGCAGAGCATCGCCGATGGGAACGGAGCCCATATTGGTCTCTTCGACGGGTTTGCCGTTTAGTCGTGCGCCGCCGGTTGAAGGTGCAGCATGGCCGTTCGGTGCCACAGACTGCTCCTCGAAGGACAAGAAGAGTTGCGCGCCGTTTCTACAGTATCGTTAGCTGTGAAGACGAGCTCGGGCAAGCCACGTACGATAGTCCCACTTGCTTGAAGCTTACGCCCTCGAGGCCAGCAAGCTTCCTCGCGTCGCCTCCCTGCGGCTTGTTGCTAACACTGATGCTCTGGATGTCGACATCCTTGGGCAGCTTCTCGGCAACCTGGGGCAGAATCGACGAAAAGGTGTCCTCGGGCTGTACCGTCAACCGGAACTGGCCGTCTTTGCTAACAAACTGGTGCGAATTAGTAAGATATCACCCGCATTGGGCATAAAGACATACCCTCAATATCATGATCGGAGCGCTATGAATTTCGTGGTGGAGTGGATAAAGGTGATGCAGGCGGTAGGGTAGAGGTAAGAGGTTTGGAAGGGAAGCGCGACCAGAAGAAATAAGTAGACAAAGGCGAGGTGCAGTGGTGAACCTTGGGCGGTGTTGGTGATTGATTCGAGAAGGCGCCTGTAGCGGAGCGGACATGGATGACGCAGACGCGCTAGAAGGACGCTAGTCGAGCGCGGAACTGGACAGATATTCGCATGTATCGATAAGTGAGACAACAGCGACTCGCCCTCCCTCTTGGTCTTCACCTACCCCATATCTCACTACTGAGAACACCGTCGCTCCTTCCTATTCCAACGTCAGCGCCTGCATCGCATCGCGAGCTTGTCATACCTCTTCACATCCCGCGCAAACAAACCACACAACCCACACAACATTCACCATGTGGCCCTTCGACATGGTCGACTGGGTAATGCTTACCGTGCCC